ATGTCAATCACTGGATTGTCTAACTCGATTATTTACTGCTGTCATATAGCTGGAATAGTGTTGAGTGCAATAACAAACGAAACAAAACAAAATAAATCAATAACGTCCCCTGATTTGATTTTATGAGTTAGGTTGAACTCATGCATGTACCATGTATGCAGTCATGCATATATCATTCATGCATCGCGTGTCATCTGTATGTGCAGGGAAAGTCCAAAGTAATACAAGCAGGTCATCGACCTTTACCAATTTATGAAAACCACGAGCACGGACAATGCTGCCATGGTCCACATTTATACAGGGAGAATCTAGGATTCGAACATTTCCGCGCCGTATGTACATATAACACGCTGAAACTGATACCTGGAACATTATTCGTATATATTACCGTGTATTAAATATGCTGAAATTTACACCCATAAAACATGCACACGTGACCCATGATGATTCGGGTTACACCTAGCTTTCAGCAGCTCATGCTTGTGATAGACGACTAACGGCGGGATCGGGTGATCAGGCTCGATGAGTTGGTTGATGCGTGTTATCGTATCCCAATTGCGTAGATAGATGTTCATGATGTCAATCACTGGATTGTCTGGTCCAGGCTCTATTATTTACAGACCGATGTCATATAGCTGGACCATTGCTGACTGTGGCGTAAAACAACAACGCAAACAACATGCACAAGTAACATGCACAAGTGACAACTGGATCTAAGTTAGGGACCGTATACTCCAATCGTTGTCCATTTTCCGCTTTTCGGACATTGAAGCTACATAGAATTTAAAAACTGAGTTTGTAAGCAATCATTTATTTAAGGAGTTATCGTGATTGAGACTACAAATATATAATAGTATGCACCTATTTCATTCGAGAGATTTAGCCGTTAATATCCACAGAAATATACAAAAGACAGTAATTACTAATCTCTATCACTATAGAAACGAGTTTGTTGTCGGGTGTCTGTTTGCGTTTATTTCGGGATGTCATGCCTTGTGTCCATTTCTCAACATGCATCTCTGATCAGGTAAGATGCTTGCTTTAGATCTGATGGGCACCGTCATCCGAATACACACGTGAAAGGTGGGAATAAACGCTGACCAGTGTGTTTCTTGTGCTTAGTCTTTGTCAGATTATCCAAGGGCTCCTAGAGGTGTAACCACTAATAATTACATCGGTAGCAACACAAGTGTAACACAAGTGACTGTTGCACAGTGTATCAGGCGAAGTGTTATACATTGTTGACTGCAACAATGGCGTAACAAAAGTGACTGTTGTACAGTATCATGCGAAGTGTTATACATTGTTGACAGCATAAAGGGCGTAGCACAAGTGACTGTTGCACAGTGTATCGGGCGTAGTGTTGTTCATTGTTGACTGCAACAAGGGTGTAACACAAGTGACTGTTGCACAGTGTATCGGGCGAAGTGTTATACATAGTTTACAGCAACAAGGGCGTAACACAAGTGACTGTTGTACAGTGTATCTGGTGAAGTGTTGTACATTGTTGACGGCAACATAACACAAGTGACTGTTGCACAGTGTATCAGGCGAAATGTTGTATATTGTTGACTGCAACAAGGGTGTAGCACAAGTGACTGTTGCACAGTGTATCGGGCGAAGTGTTATACATTGTTGACCGCAACAAGAATGTAACGCAAGTGACTGTTGCAGCGTGTATCAGATGAAGTGTTTTACATTGTTGACTACAACAAGGGCGTAACACAAGTGACTGTTGTACAGTGTATCAGGTGAAGTGTTAAACATTGTTGACTGCAACAAGGGTGTTACACAAGTGACTGTTGTACAGTGTATCAGGCGAAGTGTTATACATAGTTTACTGCAACAAGGGCGTAACACAAGTGACTTTTGTACAGTGTATCAGGCGAAGTGCTGTACATTGTTAACAGCAACAAGGACGTAACACAAGTGACTGCTGTACAGGGTATCAGGAGAAGTGTTGTACATTGTTAACAGCACCAAGAATGTAACGCAAATCACTGTTGCAACATGTATCAGGTGAAGTGTTATACATAGTTTACTGCAACAAGGGCGTAACACAAGTGACTGTTGCACAGTGTATCAGGCGAAGTGTCGTTCATTGTTGACTGCAATAAGGGTGTAACACAAGTGACTGTTGTACAGTGTATCAGGCGAAGTGTTATACATTGTTGACTGCAACAAGGGTTTAACACAAGTGACTGTTGCACAGTGTATCAGATGAAGTGTTATACATTGTTGACTGCAACAAGGCCGTAACACAAGTGACTGTTGCACGGTGTGTCAGGCGAAGTGTTATACATGACATTGTTGACTGCAATAAGGTAGTCACACAAGTGACTGTTGAACAGTGTATCAGGTGAAGTGTTATACATTGTTGACTGCAACAAGGGTTTAACACAAGTGACTGTTGCACAGTGTATCAGATGAAGTGTTATACATTGTTGACTGCAACAAGGCCGTAACACAAGTGACTGTTGCACGGTGTGTCAGGCGAAGTGTTATACATGACATTGTTGACTGCAATAAGGTAGTCACACAAGTGACTGTTGCGCAGTGTATCAGGTGAAGTGTTGTACATTGTTGACTGCAACAAGGGTTTAACACAAGTGACTGTTGTACAGTGTATCAGATGAAGTGTTATACATTGTTGACTGCAATAAGGGTGTCACACAAGTGACTGTTGAACAGTGTATCAGGTGAAGTGTTATACATTGTTGACTGCAATAAGGGTGTCACACAAGTGACTGTTGCGAAGTGTATCAGGTGAAGTGTTGTACATTGTTGACTGCAACAAGGGCGTAACACAAGTGACTGTTGCACAGTGTATCAGGCGAAGTGTTATACATTGTTGACTGCAATAAGGTAGTCACACAAGTGACTGTTGAACAGTGTATCAGGTGAAGTGTTATACATTGTTGACTGCAACAAGGGCGTAACACAAGTGACTGTTGCACAGTGTATCAGGCGAAGTGTTATACATTGTTGACTGCAATAAGGTAGTCACACAAGTGACTGTTGTACAGTGTATCAGATGAAGTGTTATACGTTGTTGACTGCAATAAGGGTGTCACACAAGTGACTGTTGCGACGTGTATCAGGTGAAGTGTTGTACATTGTTGACAGTACCACAATTAACTGTTGGACACGTTGCAGTGAGTGAGTATGGTTTTACGCCGGTTTAAGCAATATTCCAGCAACGTCACGGCGGGGGACACCAGAAATGGGCTTCACACATTGTACCCATGTCGGGAATCGAACCCGGGTCTTCGGCGTGACGAGCGAACGCTTTTACCACAAGGCTAACCGACCGCCCCTGCACACGTTGCAGATTGGTTGCCTGGGAAATAAAGGTTATCTGTTTACGCATCATATATGTACTGAACTTGAGCCTTGTAAGAAATACAAAACGCTTTTGATATTTACAATTAACATAAACGTTTACTTTGCGAAATATAATTTTACGGCCTCAGATGTGTCAAATGGTATATCATGTATATATCGATCAGTCAGTTTCGACATTGGTCAAGATCGACGTCAGCCCGTCATCCACACAATCTGACATTCGAACACAGTCTCCCGTGGATATTTTCTTTTTCAGATGTCACAACTGGGGTGTTTCCTCAAAAGGCATCAGGTGATCGTCCGCTTGCAGCTGGCTGTGTTGATGTTTCAAACACATATTTCCACCCGCTACTTCCATACCTCGTAAGTACCTTCTGCCGACCAATATCAGTTGAAATAAAACAATTATGTGTTGTAATAGGGGTGTTTCCATATGACCGCTATGAAACGAGTCTGAAAGAATGTACCTGCTTTTTAGTATTGTGTTAGATATGCAAAACGGAGACCCTGTTGGGATTCCTTGGTCAGACAAGGTCCCCAGCGACATATATGCCTGAGGTACAAGGCATTAAAATAGATCCAGTGGTCAGGCTTCTTAAAGTGAGCTTGGTTGATTAAGAATAATCGATCGCCCGATACGTTATTCATAATATCAACCACTGGTATGTCGGATCCAGACTCGAATATTTACAGGCGATTGAGGCCATCGTCATATATAACGAGACTATTGCTGACTACAGTAAAAAAAAATACAGCCTACACATGAACTAGGTTGGATAAAAAATCAGGGAAGGGATCAGAAAAGGTATTTAATTCCCGAAATAAAGTCATGTGTAAGGTTTCCTATAGGTTCACCATAAAATCACTAGGGTCGACGTGGGATTGGGATGAGAATGGAAAAGTGATCGAAATGGAATTGTTTGAAAAGATTGAGTGACTTTGCTTAACGTCAATTTTGAACAGTATCAAGGCGTGCCGGTTTAATGTGGGAGGAAAGCCCGGAGTAATGCGGGTCTTAGACGTTTACCACTCTGGGGAACCTACGAGCACGGGTAGAGTGCTGAGAAACGGGTAGGGTGCCAGAAACATAATCGGAGCAATCCGAGATTCGAGCACACAATCATAGCACAGCAAATTGCGGTGCCTCAGACGACCGGGCAACCCGTGCTCCCGTTGATAAGACAGACTTTCAGGGATATGTAAAGACAGGGTTACCCATATCTGCAATAAATTGTCAAATTTCAAGAATTGACCATGGAACATTTTTCTCCTCAACAAAACAATGTCGATCATTATATGTTAATAAGGTAGACAAAGTATTTTTAAATATATAGTTATGATTACAAAATTAATGATAACTGAAAATTGGAGCTTTTGTGACAATGAAAGTTCACCGATAAACAGTTTATTCCCTTCCCTGGTTTTATTGTTCGATTCCAGTTTGACAGAAAATGGTCCACTCGTCTTCCTCGTAAAAAATGTTATGAAAGCTATTTACATATTAATTATAGACATAAATGCTAAAAAGAAGCGTGGAATATGTTGCTAAGTTCTACAATGTTGAGGTTACCAAAATTGAAACTATTCTTGTCTGCGACGTTTCGCTGTGACAAGGGAGGTCAAAGTTCAGCTAGTGCCTGTCGGCCTCGCTTTCGTGTTCTAATTCGTCAAGATGGCGGCGACCGAATAAGGGAGGAAGTAAAGAGATATTCGCTGAAATTGTAGCACTATTACACTCAACCATGTGGATTGGAGTATACTGTATACATTGATTCGGGTTGAAATACATGGAGATGGTGTCAAATATGGATTAATGCCTGCTTCTGTGCCGCAAGGGCTTAATCTAGGAGCCTCGTCTGCTCTCGCCAATAATGGGAGCTCAGCAGGGGAAGGAACCTCGGGTCAGTTCCGGGAAAACTAAAGCTAAGACAAAAGAACCAAGGGTTTCGTCGGGAAATATTTTTGCTGAACATAATGGTAAGCTTAACTGTCATAGAACTTGATATTTTAGCCATTTACGATGCGAAATTATTTGCACAGGTCTGAGATTTTGCAACGTAAACACGGCCGCACGTTGTGTTGTCTAGCCATGCAGGCCTATGAGTAATGTGACAGGGATGATATGTTTTATCAGTGATTTCTCACCAGGAGAGAGATTTCATCTTCTTTTGATGCATTGCTTGTATATTTATTTTCTATGTTTGAATGCCTGTTTACTTGACACTCATAAGCTTTCATAAGTGACCTGTGTTGCAAAACATCAAATGTCATGTTACGGTTGTCAATGTCATTGTCTGAATGTCAGTTTGTCATACTCAGCTAGACATGGATCAGCCTAATCATCACAGACTGTCATAAGGTTAGAGAGGTGGTGCATTTCTCGGTTACACTGACGAAATGCATCCAATATAAAAAAAACCCCATTAAATTACCTATCATCTAATAGCATGCATGATCAGTGGTCTCATAAAATGTTGCTGAAAATACACCAATTCTCAGCTGGCATGTCTACAGGCCTAGTTGTGTATTTAATATATGTTTGAAGTCTCATCATTGATAAACATGGATTTATAATGTAGTAAGGTAGTGTGGTATAAAACCATTAAAACATTTTTATCAAAATATTTCAATGGACTGTTTTGTTTGAATTTCATTCATTTATGGAAATGTGTTCCTGTTGTTGAGAATTGGTGCTGTCATATGCAGCTGGTGTACTTATTGTTTGAACATGCTTAAATGTTTGTCTCTTAATGCGTGGCATAAGTCACACTGAATGTTACACATTGCAACATCTACTGACAGTGGAAGCTGGAAGCAATTATGGTAATGCAAGGCATTTCATCTTGCCAATCCTATAACTTGATATTGACATCAAGAAGGCCAATTATGACTAATGTCTGTTATGTATGTTAAAATGCAGCGTTAGAAAATGGCACTGATCCTGTAGTCCTTGCCAAACTGCCCAATAGTTAAGGTATCATAAGAACTAGTAGAAATTTGGCAGTTTTAATGGTTTTGCTATATGTTATCATTATAAGGACTAGTGGACTAAATATGTTAGTTTCTACCCCTGAAATGAATCACAGGATGTACGGTTCTTAAGCATCATTCGACACAGCCAGTAGCCTGCTAATCAACAACTACAGGGATAGTCAAGATGGATCATATCTAATTAGTAGTAGTAATACAGTTAGCAAATGTAGGGGAAAATGCTGCTTTGTGTTGCTTCAAAAATATTTGAATCTAGATTTTGTTTGTTGTTTAACACTGTACTAGGCAGTATTCTAGCTATATGACAGTGGTCTGTAAATAATCAAATATGGACCAGACAATCCAGTGATTGACATCATGAGCATCGTCTACAAAATTGGGATACAATCACCTGCATCAATCTAGTCAGTGAGCCAGACCACCAACTTCCGTTAGTCGATAACTATGAAGTATAAAGTATCATATTCTTGTGACATTAGACAAACTGACTTGAGCTAGTACCACTTGGCATCCCTGACTATGCTTATGCCTCAATATTTTGTCATTGATAGATATGTCTTTGTAGTAGTATACAAAGTGTATGTTAAATCAAAGTTGAATTTCAGAGACAAGTCTCCTTCCACGGCTGTTCAAAAGATAAAGTAACATGGCAAATAATGGGCCAGAAATTATTCTTTACTACTGATGCATTTATCAGGGTTAGAACAAAACTCAAAAGCTTTACTAACCCAGGTAAAGATGAAATGCCCTCGGAATGTTAAAACAATGGGGAAATTGGGTAATTTGACTAGCCTGCAGAAAATTGTACTGGCCCTAGGCTAGCAGGCTAGTGTGAAGTTCTAACCCAGAATAGGGAAAGCATTCACCTCTATAATAAATATTTTTTGTTTGTTTCAAGCTATATGACTGGTCTGTAAATAATAGAGTATGGACCAGACAATCCAGTAATTAATATCATGAACATCGATTCACACAATTGGGATGGATGACATGCATCAACCAATCCAGCGAGCTTGACCATCCCGATCCCGTTAGTCGCCTCTTACGACAAGCATAGTCGCCTTTTACGGCAAGCTTGGGTTGCTGAAGACTTATTCTACCCTGGATCTTCATGGGTTATTGTAAATAGTAAAAGTAACAAAGAATGTTTCCACCAATGAAGGTTGTGCTTCCCTCAAGCATGGTTAGCATTATCATGATTATGTAACATGTCGTAATATGTTAAATAATTCCCCTTTTGTGTGATATTTCATGCCATTTGTTGATGATGATTTATTGCAGATTAACTTACATTGCATTGTTAGAACAATCATACATGACAGTTTGAGTTGTACAGTGATTACAAAATCATACCAGCAAAGATCCTATTTGACAATACTGCCGGTAAACATGGTAAAGACACGACCATTAGTCAGTCATTCTGAGACGAGTGAACATTTACAGTGACTTGTTGTTTTCTCCCCAAATCTAGTTATGTTACATCATGTACATAAGCTACTAGTCTGAAATGATCTGCAGCCTAGATAGATATGACCAGCCGTATTTATCCCTTGGTATTGCATATTTTTCAGAGCTATAAAGTATCAGGGCACATGTTACTGTACCAGCGTTCATTGTAATGTCTACAAACTGCATGACTTCCCCCCCCACTTTAGCAGACATATTTCGACTGAACTACTGTTCAAAGCAGTGTTAATCTCAATTACTTACAAATTACACCCAGACAGAATGTGTTATCAAGTGATTGATATTCAGAGGGTTTGGGGGTTCCTTGAGCAATGTTGAGGTTTGCTGAGACCCTAAATCTTTCATTTTTAACATAATGGTTGCCACAAGGACCTTGTGAACTTCATTCTTTCGAACAGTGTATTATGTATTATGTTATAGTTACAGCTTTGTTCAGACTTTTTATGATTTTAACAATATGCTGTTAATTAAGTTTTGTCGTTAAAACATGACAGTAATTGAATAGGACTCTGGTTAAATCTTTATGAAAATATTCAATTGATGGTATGCATCATGCAAATTGTGCTCAGTATTTGTGTACAAAATTACAATCCTTTTGATTAAATAGAGAATATGAACAGGTTAGTTGAAAAGATATGTAGCTTGTTCTGGTTGTCAGTGTCAAGATGGTGTCAGAGGCGGTGGGGTAGCCTAGTGGTTAAGACTTTCGCTCGTCACGCCCAGGTTTGATTCCCTGCATGGGTACAATGTGTGAAGCCCATTTCTGGTGTTCCCCACCTTGATATTGCTGGGATATTGCTACTCACCCAAGATAGTTTCACCATCAATTCGAAAGGTACTTGGTTGTTGTTGTTTGTTGTGTTGTTTAATGCCACATGCAGCAATAGTCCAGCTATATGACGGCGGTCTGTAAATAATCGAGTCTGGACAAGACAGTTCAGTGATTGATGATATGAGCATCGATCTACGCAATTGGGATACAATGACATGCATCAACCAAGTCAGCGAGCCTGACCATCCCAATTCCATTAGTCGCCTCTTACGACAAGCATAGTCGCCTTTAACGGCAAGCATGGGTTGCTGAAAACCTCTTCTACCCTGGATCTTCAAGGTGCTTGGTAATACCAGTGTGATGCTAGTTAGCTGCAATATAAAATATTATGTGCATGGCAGTATTTGTTTAAGCACACTGACTGTTGTGCTTTATTTATTTCTCTGATTGTATTCCCCTTGTATTGAAAAGTGCAGATGCATAAAAGAGGCCAGTTCACAGAGGCGAAATCTTCGTCATGTTTGTCAAAGTCATTCAGTCTTCTATGTGTTAATTAACAAGGCATGTTTGAAATTACACAGTAATATACCAAATGTCATTGCTACAATGCCTTAATGTACAAATGCAAAACCTTGGCCAATACAGTCTTCAATGCTGTCTATTGTTAAGGTGTAGTTGTTTGAATTTGGATATGTACCAAAGAAAATATTGATTAAATTCAAGTCATTACCAAGCTAACGTGATGAGAGAATTCAAAGAAAATAACAAGCTCATCAGAAACTGATTTAGTTTCAGATATTTGGATTTGTCTCCTTGGAAAATTACTGTGGGAGCCAATGGACTCAAAATTATTCCAACTCTTAGGTTTAGATAATGGGGCATTTTAGAAAGGGTCCAAGCAGAAATGGGAAGCAGCCATTGTACTGACACAAGTTTCACTTTAATATTGCTGAATCAGCATTACCAGGTCAGGACATGATGCAGAGAAGGGTATGTTTGTTGTAAGATCATGTTGATTCCGAATAGGGAGTGAGTGAGTGAGTTAGAAATGTATATCTCATGATGACGTAGCAGCAATATTGCAGCCATGTAGCGATAGAAACATGTTATGGGTTATTTAAAACATGTAATTGTATGCTGAATAGAGATTATATGCTTGAAAGAAATGACTTCGAACCATTGCATATGGTTATGGAATGATCATCCTCATTTGTGATCTGATCCTCATCAAACAGTTTATTTGCCAGATCCATCATTCACTACTCTCACAAGTACAGCAAAGGGGGCCACTCACAGCATGTCTCCCCATGCTGTGATTATGACTTGTGTTCTATAAATACACACAGTGCAGGCTAAATACTGAGGATGCATGCTCATGATGCTGTCTCCTTAGACAGAGAGATCTATTGATGGAAATCAGCGAATAATGCCATTTGGCAGGCAGTGATTCAGAGGTGGTGATTCGTAACAGTAGAAGTGACGTTTTATCTTGAATTTAAGCCTGTAATTATTGGTAGTCAAGCTGCATGGTTTATGAAGTGGAACATACACTCTGGATGCTATCATCTGAAAAGTATTATGGGCATTTTATCAGACTTTTCAGGTAATAAAATAAACTAGATCTTGCCTGGTCTCTGACAGGGTGACTTTGTAATATCATGGCCTTGTTACATAACCTCAGAGTGTGCAAGGTTAGCCTGGTTAATGCATTTTTCAGAGAATATTGAAATTTTTTTAGGACTTGTTG